TCAGACAGTGTGATGATAATTACTGTTGATAATCTCATTTAGCTTGTTGTAACGCCTTTTCCGGCTTTTTTGCAGGCGTGTGCTGAATATTTCTGACAAATGTATATTTAATTTTCATGGGCGTTTAATAGTTTTATCCATGAAGGTTATTAATTTTTTTTTTAATTTCTTCGTTTAATTCATGGAGTTAAAATTCCTTTATGAAATGCAATAGTAAGTGTAATAAATAAGAAAGATAGTATTTTTTTGTAACGTAAAATATTTTGGGGATTATTTTTTGATCTTAAAGATTTTAATTATCATCACAATTAGAGGTTTCGGTGTTCGTTTTTTGAACTCATTAATTCGCACATTTAGTGAACAAATTACTGGCTATTAAATCATTAATTTGCTTTAAGATAACTATGCGGTGTATCTAATTGAACATATAAAACATTTCAAATTATATAAAATGCTATACTTGTACTCCAAATTTCTGTTAAAAAAATATGTTTTTTTTCTAATGTATGAGAAGTTTGGAAAATGATGTGGCAACTCGTACCACAGATTCTTGGTAATCTCTACGAAAGGGAATTTTAAGTGCGTCTTCCCTGTTCGATGGAAAAGTTCAAATAGTTAAAAGAGAAGTAATTTTTTTTATTTCATTTGTGTGTGTGTGTGAGACTGTGGCAAAACGATAATCTTAGTACCGATTTATTTTTAGTCAATCAATTGCTGCATGGGGGATAATAGCCTTTGTTGCTCTGTATTCCACAAAACCTGAACTGAACTGATTGCTGCATGGAACGTTATCGTTCGATTTCATAGTGTTGCTCCACTAGTTGTTCTATATATTATTGGATTGTTAGTAAAGTGATGTGGAAGAAAATTTTGCAACGTTTGTTTGGAATTGAACAACACACACGCGCGGACTTCGGGAAAATACCTTACAGATTAATTTAAACTTGTTAACTTCTTGGTACCTTTCACAACGTTATTACATAACTTCATTTTATTTTCGCTGTATCAAAAATTGTATTGCAATCCGACTGAAAATTATTTAACAATTTCTTCAATTTTAAGAAAATGTTCCTCTTTCATTTATTTTGCTTTTATATATTGATAGAAAAAAGCATTGTTAGTTTACATACACATACAATTAGATGTTCATCTGAAAAATATTGCAATAAACAAGTGAAGCAGTTCTCCATCGTATTCAAACCTATTAGTATGAAGATTAAATTTATTAGACATTTTTATCAAATTTCAAAAATTCTAAATTCCAGTCAACAATCTTGTATTATTATAACATACTCTTTATTTATTTTCCACATTATTTCTTAATACATCATTTCAAATTGCTTTCTTCTCTTAGGTCCTGTACCATATGTTCGAGGGTTACGCTGAGATGGGGCCCAAAAACATCATAACGGTAGATTACTTGGCAGGTGTCGCCTCCTTTTTTGTGGTGGCCCTCGGTGGAACCTTAGTGGGCATCTTATGGGGTTTGTTGGCTGCATTTGTGTCCAGGTTCACCCACCACGTCAGGGTCATCGAGCCGCTCTTCGTCTTCGTCATGGCCTATCTCTCATATGTCAGTGCAGAATTATTTCACTTCTCTGGAATATTAGCGTAAGTAGTCCTTTCATTGTCTTGGGTTAGATAAAATCAATAAAAATTAGTTTTTGATATTAGATTTATACTATTGAATCGCATCTGGTTATATAGTAACCAGGGGTAATCTTATGATATTAGAGCTCTGCATCTCAAAATAACTGCAATCAAATACGATTGTGTCAAGAGATATCAATCAAATCAGTGGCGTAACGTACACCCCGCATTGCGGGGGGCCCAGGAACTCTAGGGGGACCAAAATTTGACTGATGCTAAGTACGTATTTGGGCTCTAAAACCTGAGTTTGCAGGGGCACCCTAATATTTTCCGTTACGCCGCTAAATCAAATAGACCTATAAATGTACAGTTTTAGTCAAATACTTGCCGTTGCTTATTATTATAAAAAAATTTAAATAGATGTTCCATTAGTTTTTGTCTCTTAATTACTAACTTTATGCCGTTTAATCAGGAAAACTAATATGTAATCTAATTATGTTGGAAGGAATCAATTTTTAATTTTATGTATTAATTACTATATGTGCGCTTTTAAGTGAATTTTCTAGTTTTCTGTATTTAAAATGTACTTTTACAGTAGAAATAAAGATAACGGAGAATTAAAATATATCAATACAATAAGAGTATTCATTCTAAAATATTAGATTCATTCAAAAGGCCATTTTTAACGACAGGGGAAATTTCTCAAGGTTTTAATGACACATATTCTCTCCTACATAAATAATTTACATTAAAGTAATATGAATGACTTGTATCGACTTTTTATGATAGGAAAGTTACCTTTATTACAGAAAAATACAGAGTTTTAAATTTAAAAAGTAACTATTTGTTCAACACCAGTCCACAAAACAATGAACAGTGTATTGTATTACATTCTATATTATGATTGTCTTAAAAATTCATTCAGATATTGCAATTATTTTTTTTAAAAAAATGTTAGTTCACTCTGTAAGTTTTGCAATATCTGACACAACTAAATACTTTAGTAAATATATTGATTGAGTGTAGAGCATTTTTACTTAATGTATGCATTAATTACATTTTCTTAAGCAATGTGTTTTCGTCGTTTACATTTACAATTCAACTTGAAATCTCATTATTGAACAATTGTACTACCATACAATGTTTAATTTTTGTAAAAAGCATAATTTTATCCAATAAGTAAGGTCTAATTTTATGTAATAGTGTGTAATTACGTAAAACTGTATAGCTCATAGATAAAATTTTCGTGTTGATTCCAAAATCAGTATATATATATATATATATATATATATATATATATATATATATATATCGCTTTCCTTATCGCGTAAAAAAAATTTCTGAAATCCTTAAATGTACCTTCTTTCTCGAAATGAATAGAGCTTTAATCACAGCGAAATCCTATTAATAAAATAAAGTGAATAATAAATAATTAAGGTAAACAAAATAAATTCAATAGTATCGCTAGAAATCCATTTTTAAAAAATTGGCGCTTTTGTAAGTTCAATATTGTCATGTGAATTATTGAAATTTTAGAGCCATCCACACCACTTCTGTTAGAAATAGAATGCTTTATTTTTCATTTAATAACTCTGTTTGATTTTGTAATTTAAATTTAAATCTTTTAATAACAATTGTTGTTCTGTAGCACAATTCATGGTTATTTATTTAAATAAGGGCACTTACGTACTACCGATAATTGTGAAAATTTTACGTAATCTAGAAAAGTGGAAATGTGCAATGCTATATGTCCCTCTCACGAGATAGTTTTCAATCGATAGAATTTGATTCTTCGATTTCTTATCGATGAATAAAATGCAATGTTTCTCTTTCGCAGGTTAACCTTCTGTGGCATCACGATGAAGAACTACGTGGAAGAAAACATCTCGTACAAGAGTCACGTGACCGTGAAGTATGCCATGAAGATGTTGGCCAGTTCCTCTGAGACCATCATCTTCCTCTTCTTGGGCGTGTCTACAGTCAATGACAACCATGAATGGAATACGTGGTTTGTCGTCATGACCATTTTCTTCTGCTCCGTCTACAGGACCATTGGTGAGTTGAATTGGGTGCTGCTTTCCGAGAACTATTTTTGAAAGTTTCTTGAGAATAAAATGATAATATAGATTTTCAAACAAACATTAAACTCGAGTAAAATTTCTTTCTGACCGACTAGTGTTAGCATGACTAACACTAGTCGGTCAGAAAGTCAATTACCTACCCGGGAATGCCTTCAACCTAGGAGAGGAGGGAAAAAGCGAATCAACTTACAAATGAATACATCCAATTCAAATCATGCACCCGTTTTATGTTATGATGTATTTCTCCGGAAATTGAAAGTCATACAATACACTAAGAGAATAGGGCGAGTCTATTAGTACTTAAACAATGTGATTTTGCAAGATCATTTTAGATGTCATCGGGGATGTCTTAAGATTTCTTGAAGGCTTGAGTCCCTATGCAAAAGTATGCCCCATCGGAGACTTTTTTAAGTAGACAGTATATAGCATACACTATGAAATACTTGCATAATAGGGCAACACATTGCAAAAAATTGTGTATAACTCAGAATTTAAGCACAAAACAATTCGACCAACTGCTGACTTTCCCTTAAATGATTGTGTAGGGCTAGGTCTTATCAGAATGACGGACATGACATAATAATGCAATCTTGCCACTGTTGCCAATTGACATATAGTTCGAAATTCACAGTTTTTCGGAGAACATGCCTGAGAATACCATTTGACGATTAAAATTATTCGGATTATGATTTAAATGAGGCTGAGTCAAGAATGAGAAGAGGCCCTGGGCTAGGGCTCAGTTGGTGCAAGCCTTAAAACGTTCCTACACATGCTTAAACAAATGTGAGACAAAAGTCGTCGAACCTTGCTTAAATATTTCTATAATATAATTTAGTAGCTGAATATATATATTTACAGTGTTAATCAAATGCTTTATTTTTGGCGTTATAATTTGGCGCCCCACGTTGGGCACCAAATTATAAGGGGTGTGACCCATTGTAATAAAGGGACACGCGGGGAAGGGTTCTTAACTAAGTTCACTAGTTAATTAAAACACGCTTATTAGACAAAACAAACATTTACATACTTAAATAGAAAACTAACATTTTTTAGCATAGAATTGGAAGGGATCGGAGTGCATGCTTGTACGTCCTTGCAGTTCCGAAGCTTGGCCATTACTGAAGATTGTTCTATCCGCTAGAGAGCATGACAGTCTATGTACTGTTAATAAGGAGGAGTGTAAGCAACAGGGGGGAGGGTACAAACTTGTAGTGGATGACACTTGATGTTAATTCAAATATTAATTCACTAATTAAATTTAAAAATGAATAAGTAACAACAAAAATAATAGTCCAACAGCACATACAGAAAAAGAACGTCGTTCGTCGTGTCCCTGTAGCGCAATGAATAGCGCGTTGAACTTCTAATCCGAATGTCGCGGGATCGAATCCCACCAGGGATGGCCTGATTTCTGAGAATGTGATATTTTTTTACTATACTATTTTATTGGAATAATTAAATTTAATTAATGAATAAATAGTAACAAACAAACAAAAAATTGTTCAAAACCATACATAGAAAGGAAAATTGCTTTCTATTTTGTCACTTAATATTGTGATTCTGTCATATGTATATACATATTTATATTAGTTGTAGCTATGTAATATAAAAAGTAACTAAAATAAAATTTGTCTTTGTTGACCCAAGTAGGAATTGACGTACTTTTTTTATATCACTTGCTCTTTATAAAAGTTGAATAACCGACAAAATCCTCGAGACAGTTGTTGTATGATTCATATTTTCCACCAGTTTCACCGATTCCCATATTAACTGATGCAGCTTAAAGAAATTTTTCACTGAATTACCGTTAATGATATTTTAATAAGAAACAGAAAATTGGGGACAAACCTTAGCTAAATGCAGTCAGTTTGTTCTTCTGAGCAATTTTATTTAAGTTATGGATGATAAAATTGGATTAAGTTTAGAATTAGCTAGAAGTAAAAAGAATTGGGTGAATGAATGCAAGAAACAAACCACGAAATTACCATATATAGTTTTTGATTGATATTAATCTTTGAACAGGAAACAATTTACGCTACATGGAAAAAGAGAAAGCTAATTATTTATCTTTACAGAAGATTTATTTACGTACCTACTGCTTTCTAAACATATATTTCAGTTTTCAAATCTGTAAAATTTAAATTTTTGTTCAGAGACTAAACAAAATTGTTTTGATTCCAGCGAAACTAAATCATAATTAGCGTTAACCTGGTTCCAAATTATAGATCAATGATTAGAAGGTTTATATTTTTATTTCTTTAGTCTAAGGGCTTGACGATTTTCTCTAAAATCTGTCTAAAGAATGTTTTCTTAGCAAAGTTCTTATTGTAGACATTGAAATAAATTTTTCAACTAAAATGAAGTGAAGTCAGTTAGAAAATCGAAATTTCAGTTGATAAGTTTAAACTATCAGATTTTTTCCCTCCTGCTTACAATATTTCCCTTTGTGAAGTTAGGAAAATTCTGATGCCAATTTCTCAATCTTAACCACTCTTTAGAAATATTAGAGTCATTTCTTGTGGTTTTCCCTTTAACTCTGAAGGAATTTGGTTGCATTTTTTTTAAAATTCGAACATATCATTTATTATGGCTGGTACAGCTGAAACACACAAACACACAAACTCTTTCTTTTATTAGTATAGAAAATCATCAAAAATCATATTATTAATTAAATTGGTAAAAAGTGTATGCCTTTATTATTTTTAAAGTAACATTAAGTAAAACAATTTTAATCAATATTACATTTCTTAAGATGACTGACTACTTTCGAGACCGTGATTTTGTAAAAATAGTATAAATGAATAATTGTTTTGATATTTAGTGTCACTTGAATTAGGATATGCATATAAAATTATTTTAAGAATATTATTGCAAGATGAAAAAAATACTATATTTTCGAAACTTTCTTCTATTTTGGAAAATGCTTCTACAATAATAATATTTTTCTATGTATAGCTAAGACTTTTCTGATCAGATCTGGAACAAAGATTGTTGAAAATTCATATTATTTTCAGGGGGTTTGTTAAACTCTCTCTACTCTTATTAAAATGTGAATAAATCCATTTCGAAATGATACATCTCAAAAATCTTAATCCAGCCTCTTTGTACACGTTTTAACTAACTATAGGCAAAATATTATTGTTACAGAAGCATTTTTCATGGTTGGAGAATATTTTTAAAAATATGTCATTCTTTCATCTTTTTTTTTTCAAAAAAATTGCATTTTAATAACTTTTCTTTGTAGAAAATATTCTTAAGACAATTATATATATATATTCCAATTTAAGGTATACTAAATATCAAACAATCAATATATATCAAACAATCATATATATATATATATATATATATATATATATATATATATATATATATATATATATATATATATATATATATGTGTGTGTGTGTGTGTGTATTAAGTGGGTTTTTTTTTCAAAACTATGATTCAGAATGTAGTCAGATACCTTAAAGTATAAACAAGCTCTTAGGACCACAGTTTTAACAACATTTCGTTTTCAGGTGTCATTATTCTGACAGCTCTTGCCAACAGATTCCGATTACATCGCATCGACAAAGTGGAGCAGTTCATTCTGGCTTATGGAGGTTTGAGAGGGGCCGTGGCCTTTGCTCTGGTCCTCATCGTTTCCGACAGAATCATCCCCACGAAAAATATGATGGTCACCACCATTATCGCTCTCGTCTTTTTCACTGTTTTCATCCAGGTAACGTTCACCAAACTCGGAAGATTCTTACCGACATTCCTGACATTTCATAATCACTCATTTTTATCTCTTTATCTGTTTACTCTGTGTTGTGTCTAACGATTCGAAAAAACCGTGTTTTGCGTGCAAAGAATTCATCTATTAAAGAATTCATTATAAATCAAATATTCCTCTAACATATTCAAAGTACTCTACAACAATTAACCTTGGGGGAAAAAATTCTTCATTGATAGCAATTAAATAGAAAATTAACGTCATTAACCTTCAGTCAAATATGGACAATCAACGCAATTCAAAAAAGAATATTACGGTCTACTATTCTCTTTATTCACCGTTTGATGTCCTTTTATATATGAGAGGTATTACTTAAACGTTCTCGAATATTTCGTAAAAAAATAATTTCTTTCCCTCAACCCAAAATTCTTGAGGTGGTCTTATGGTGATAACCTTGAACTTTTGTACAATATGACTCCAAAGAATTTTTCACGCTCGAAAGCACACCTTAAAATCTGCAGACGAATTTTAAACCGGTTACATTTTTATCTCAATCTATTCATTAAATCTAACAGACATTTTTAGATAAAGATTTAAATTTGGCTAAAAAAAGGGCAATTATTAGTTAACAATTGTCCTGCATTAAACTAGGATTGTGTGCAAAAGAACATTGTAGAAAAAAATCACTCAGCTGAATTCTGAATTTTGACCCTTTTATTGCTTTGCCAATTCAAAAAGAGTTTCAGATTACTCTTATCGTGACTTTTAATAAGAATTTTTAGAGTTTATCCTATTTCATTTCTTTTATTATTATTATTTAGACTATTCTATCTCGTTTAAATGCTTAAAGAACTACGAAAATCACAAGAGCTAAGTTCTTAGCTTGAAATATATTTTCTATTATTTTTTACAATTTTTTTGAGTTTTTTAAATTGTTTTTTGTTAATTTTTTTCATTTTTATAAAGAAGACAGGTTATGAGGTTTATAACTCGTCCTGAAGAGTGTTATATTTGTTATGCTTATGTTCGAAAAATTCCGTGTTTTCTTCGATCAATGATTTTTATGCGTGCACTTAACGGTAATGAATAAAACATAAAATTGTTATTGAGTCCACAGAGTATGGATTTATTGATGCATAAAAGCAATAGTTCTGCTTAAAAGCGAACATTGCACAAAATAAGATGCTTCATTTCCAGTAGTGTACAATCGGAACTAAATAGTGGGTTAGTTCCGGTGTTGTTGTAAAAAGACATTTTGTGGTGGTAGCAAAGAAAATATACGATTTAAAATACATCGAAACGCTAAACTTCTGTTTTTATGTTCAGTAAATTATAAAATAAAATCCTACTTTTTTTTTTACTATATTCGCAAAGAGTTATATCACAATGATATTTATATCACTGGCGAAGCGAGTTCTGAGTGGGCCCCGTATCAAAACTCCTTCAAGGCCCTTTTTTTAGAAAATAAATCCCTGTTAGTGGTACTGTAGTTACACATGTTGGTGCCCCTGTAGCTTGGGCGCCCCGTATCATCGACACAGTGTTATCTACGCCCTTTTGCTTTATATACCCATTGGAATATTACACAAAGATGTAAATAATACTGTAATAATTAATGCAAAGACAGACTATTATTAATATACAGGATAAGTCAAAATGAATATAGCGATTACAAAAGGTTATAACTATTTAAAGGAAATGAATTTATCGATAAGGTTTACACAGAATGCAGACGGAACTTCAAAATTTTGTATACACTTGTCATTTTTCAATTGTTTTGGGCATGGGAAGCACATACAACCTGTCTTTCACATGACATGGAACTGAAAGTACGCTCTTGTAATGCTCTTGCGTCCGTGACTGTGCAAATGTTCAGAATGTATGCCGTGAAATGGAATACCCCCTAGACGTTGTCCGTGTGGCCAAGGGAAGTCACATAGAACATCTATGACAAATGTATACAAAATTTTGAAGTTCCGTCTGCATTCTGTGTAAATCATCGATAAATTCTTTAATTAGTTATAATCTTTTGTAATCGCTGTATTCATTTTGGCTTGCCCAGTATTAGGAAATTGAAAATGCTTGGATATTTTCGTACATACCTAAAGTTAATTTTAAAAAATGTGAATAGATCCGTTACTTAGTTTTAATTCTGAACCACTCCAAACGAAAAATTACTAATCAGTTTTTGGGCAGCCTGAGTACATTACATAATTGATCCTTTTCTGAAATTTTAACATTGACACTAGTATAATATCTTGGTCTTAACATTCTATTGTTTGTCACAATTTGAAAGTTTAATTTGACATGATAAAGAGAACTCCAGGCAAGCCTTACAATTATCGAACACAATTGCAGCTGAAAAGTGAACATTGATTGGTTGAAGAGTATATTATTCATGGAAGTGAATCTTTATCATCAACGACTAAAAGAATTTGTTGATTTATCATTAATAAAGAACTGTTGTTCGGAGAACATATACGAAATTTGTTTCACTCATTTCAATGAATTTTTCTGCCGTGTAGGGCAGCGATGCATGTTAAATCTGTCGAGAGCTGAAACGTCCTCCCGTTGGTGTGGTGTGGTAGTTAGGAGAGGGGGTACCAGCTCAGGTGTCATCCACGTCCCTTGACCATGGATCAAAATTACGTGGTCCGTCGCCAAAAGCCCTTGTGTAGTTGAA